AGCTGCACTGTAACTTGTAAATGGACATTAAGTTATGCTATTAGTTTGAATTAAGCAATAAAGGCGCATATACATGTATTTTACATAGCTACTTGCCAGGTTTCCTTGTTTTGATGTCAGAATAGCTTACTTGCCAGATCTGCTTGTTGTAGAGCGAGATGTGTTCATTTTCACATTTACACCCTGTTTTATTCTCTTTTGAAGCCATGTGTATGATATTGCCATTGTCATTTTTCAGTATTGAAATTTAAAGTATAAAGTGTCAACAAAATGGTTTGATTCTGACCTTTATGGAGTGCATTTATTACTTCATTTTCTGATCATAAAAAAATCTGGTTTGTTTTGTCTTCCACCCCCACAGACAGCACAATGAAAATCCTATTTGTATGTAAATAAAGTACTTTACAAGCATATTGAAATTGTCCTCTTGTTCAGCAATCAATAATGGTTTTCTCCAGATAACTGGAAAGCCGAAGAATTCGGAACCTGCCAATGACAACAGATATTGCTAAATATTGTCATCGCTTATCAAAACAAAAGTCCTCATCTTCAGCAGGAAATAACCTGGCCATCTTTGCAATGCTATAGAATTATTATATCCAGATTTTGTAACAAAGCTGTTCAGAAACATCGTTGATTTATAATGTCTTGACAGGCCTCCAATTGGGTGTTACACTGTACAGAAACCAATGATATGGTAGGACTATTCTGTTTCATTTTAGAACATTTGACATTTACAAGTCATGCTTTATTAAGGATGGTTCATTCACTGATTCAGAGATGTTTGTGATATTGCATATGCAGTTATGTATTCGTGGGACGTGGACAGATGTAACTGGGACACCCACTTCAGTAACATTCTCTGTTCATTAGGTTATGTGATATTGTGTATGTGTTTATGTATTTGTGGAACGTGGACAGATGTAACTGGGACACCCACTTCAGTAACATTCTCTGTTCATTAGGTTATGTGATATTGTGTATGTGTTTATGTATTTGTGGGACGTGGACAGATGTAACTGGGACACCCACTTTAGTAACATTCTCTGTTCATTAGGTTATGTGATATTGTATATGTGTTTATGTATTCGTGGGACGTGGACAGATGTAACTGGGACACCCACTTCAGTAACATTCTCTGTTCATTAGGTTATGGACAATTATTGTCCATTAGGACTTCTGATAACATAACTAGTTGTGAGTTATATTACAGTGGCATTCTTTATGAACGGACATCAAATTACTAGTTCAGTTTATGGCTGGACATCAAGTCATTAATGTTGATAAAAAAGTTACTTTCTGACCATTAAGCAACTTACTTGAAATTTTGACATTTTTTTTTTGTTTTGGTATTTTTTGTAAATGGTGATCTAGTTATTGATTTCTAAATTGAACATATTAATTTTTTTCCATGATGGTAATAACTGTGACCTTTTAATGATGTAATCCTTGAACTGAAGGTCAGTAGATGTAGAGAACTTTGTGTACATGTAGGTAATGTATAATGATGTAATCCTTGATCTGGAGGTCAGTAGATGTACAGAACTTTGTGTACATGTAGGTAATGTATAATGATGTTATCCTTGATCTGGAGGTCAGTAGATGTACAGAACTTTGTGTACATGTAGGTAATGTATAATGATGTTATCCTTGATCTGGAGGTCAGTAGATGTACAGAACTTTGTGTACATGTAGGTAATGTATAATGATGTTATCCTTGATCTGGAGGTCAGTAGATGTACAGAACTTTGTGTACATGTAGGTAATGTATAATGATGTTATCCTTGATCTGGAGGTCATTAGATGTACAGAACTTTGTGTACATGTAGGTAATGTATAATGATGTTATCCTTGATCTGGAGGTCAGTAGATGAACTGGTATATATGTAATGAAACAAAGTATTTTTAACAATGAACAAATGAGTGAGCAACATCTCTGATCTTCATTTAAATTAATTGACAAACAGTAATTGGAATATTGTTGTTACTGATCAGCATTGAAATGTAATTTACGAAGTCTATATCAATATTTTAATTGTGACAATATACTTTAAATTATAGGATTGAATGGCCTCTTTCTCTAGCCAAGCAAGTCTTTTCCTCCAGAAACACAGCCAGTTTTGCCAATCATATAGATCAGGCTAGGCTACAGTACTCTCACAGATTTTACAAAAAGGTTTGGTAGTCACAAGAATGTGTGGTATTGAAGCAACAAAATGGTGGATCAGCCTTGATAAAAAGTAGTTTCAGAAGAAAACAGAAAGGGTGCTTGTTCAACAAGGCCAATACAACACCTTATCTTGATTTACTTAAAGCCATATAATCACCTGATATATAAACTGGCTTTCTGTATTGTTGTAACATGAGGTTAGATCACTAAAATGCCTCACTGCTGGCTGAATAATCTTAGCATTCATGCTGCATTGTGAAACTGTACTGAAGAGATAAAAACTAAATTCTGGGAAAAAAATCCAGATTATTTTATTTGCCACATGCCAATACATGCCCACTTCATGCTCGCTTTTGCAGTTTTTTTTTTTTACTGTATACGAGAGTAATCTAACTTAGAGGCCTGGATAAAGGTAGCAAATTGATAAGTACTTCAGTTTAACTATGCTGCTTTTCACTTGTAGGTTCAGGATATAAACATGTAAGGTTTTGTATGCACTCTATGTACAACAGTGTTCATGATTGTACTTAGCGTAACATCTTGACACATGATTTCTTGATTAATTGCAAATGATGAGGGCAAAATTGAAAGTCACTTTATCATTGTACATTACACAGCAAAAGTTATGTCTGGCTATGATAAATCTATGTACAAATAAATGTAAAATTTGTAACAGCAACTCCAATACCACAGTGGTTTTAACTGAGTCTTGTCAATATTTATTGGTTCTAAGCCTGGTAAAAGTAGACTGTTTGATGTGTATTCATTGATTTTATGTTTATATACCACACATGGTACATAAATCTTTATGCAAATCATTGACTTACAGTACTTTCAGTACTTATCAGACCAGTGACCTGTAAATCAACACTTGGAAGTTAGCTATGTACAAGATGAAAATCAAACTGGCCAATATGTTAAGTCATACCTAGGTCTAGGTTTCTGAAATTTTATAGGCCCCCCTCATCTCCATTTGGAACAGGCACACCAAGTACAGTCAGCATTGATTCCTTTATATCACAAGTTGTTATTGAAGTGGACCTTTTTATCAAATTGTTCCTAAGCAGCATTTTATAGATTACTATATCAAGTTAAGTGAATGACCTATCGTATCTTGCATCACCATTTGTCTATGATCATATGTATCTGACATGTGCATCCATTAGATGGAAAAGAAGCAAGTAGTTGTGATTTAATGATGTTGACTAGATGTAATGAGGTGTATGGATTGACATCATGATGGATGTCACTATAATTTACTAGCTCAACAAACCACTTGCTTTGCTTTTAAATTGGATCATTACTTTCCACCCCTGATGGAGAATGTTAATTTGGGAAAACTGTTCTGCAAAAACAAATTTGTTTCAATAGTACAGACACACAATAAAAGACAACTGTGTGACCAGAATCATTGATATACTATTGTATCATAATTATCTAGATTGAGGATCTGTATTATCAGTCTTTCTTATATGGTTTGTTCATTACTATATTTTTACAATGCTATTAATTTTTAAGTGTCATTGTGACTTTCTGTAAGTGTCCTTACAATATTCTATAAGTTTTCTTATGAAATTCTATGTCCTTATGACATTTTGTATGTGTCCTTGCGACATTTTGTAAGTGTCCTTGTGACATTTTGTAATTCCTTGCGACATTTTGTAATTGTCCTTGTGACATTTTGTAAGTGTCCTGGTGACATTTTGTAATTCCTTGTGACATTTTGTAAGTGTCCTTGTGACATTTTGTAATTCCTTGTGACCTTTTGTAAGTGTCCTGGTGACCTTTTGTAAGTGTCCTTATGACATTTTGTATGTGTCCTTACAAAATTTTGTAATTCCCTGTGACATTTTGTAAGTGTCCTGGTGACATTTTGTAAGTGTCCTTACAACATTTTGTAATTCCCTGTGACATTTTGTAAGTGTCCTTGTGACATTTTGTAAGTGTCCTTATGACATTTTGTATGTGTCCTTACAAAATTTTGTAATTCCTTGTGACATTTTGTAAGTGTCCTGGTGACATTTTGTAAGTGTCCTTGTGACATTTTGTAATTTCTTGTGACCTTTTGTAAATGTCCTGGTGACATTTTGTAAGTGTCCTGGTGACATTTTGTAATTCCTTGTGACATTTTGTAAGTGTCCTTGTGACATTTTGTAATTCCTTGTGATGTTTTGTAAGTGTCCTGGTGACATTTTGTAAGTGTCCTTGTGACATTTTGTAATTTCTTGTGACATTTTGTAAGTGTCCTTGTGACATTTTGTAAGTGTCCTTGTGACATTTTGTAAATGAGAAACATTACACCGTAGAGTGCCCTTATCACATTGTCTGTAACTTGTAATGAGACATAAAGACAAAACAAGATAGTTACGGGTCTAGAATTTATTCTGTCATATTACTCTTGATGCTCCAGTGACATAATACATCTACACTTAAGACTCCCCAGATAGGAAGGTTAATGTAGATTTATCAGTACTGAAGTAATGGTTTGATACACCAGGTGACTTTGAGAAGCCATCAGTAGCTGAGATTTATAGTAGACGTCTTGCACTTCTCATATTCTCTTCTCTCTTGGGGGAAATATCACTTCAACGATTGTGGGGTTGAATTTACTTTTCCAAGTGATATTGTTACATAGGAGTACATGCCTTTCCTTGCAGCTGATGGGTACATGAGCTAGGTTTTTCATCATGTACTTGTATTGTTTAAATGAAATGACGTTAAGGAAGACAATATATTTTGATATCCTGAGAAAACTGAATTGAAAGGGAAATGCAGTAATTGTCTGGAAGAGTACCAAAGACTTATGTGGCTTCTGTTTGGTATGTTCCAGGAACAGAAGACTAAGAGTAAGTCGGCCACACCACCAAGTGATGAGAGAGACGAGGAGATATCACCAAATCTCATGATGACAAAACGAACAAGGAGAGGGGCCTTCAGTGCTGAAGTTTACAAGGAGGAAGATGCTGCTCAATACGTCAAAAAGGTAAGTGTTGTTTTGTTGAAAAATGATTTCACTTCATTACATTTCATGAGAAGTACTGAATGGATCATTTTCAAATTTCATGTGTAGATTCTTCTTGGTCTCTAGTTGTGCTCCTTTAATTTTGGGACCATTGAAAAATACAAAATGGCTGACAGGTAGCCATCTTGTATTTTTGTTATGAAGTTTGTTATAGCTATTTATTGAAATACTAGAAAGATTTTTCTCAGATTTCAGGTATATGTTGTCCTTGGTCTGTTGTTGTGACTGATTGATTTTGGGGCTGTAAAAGATTATTTTTTGCATTTTCTATAAAGGTAATTTCCAAATCCATATAATTAAGAGCAAAAACAGAAGGTAGAATATAAAAGAAGGGGAATGACCTTACTTATGAAGAATTAACAATGATGAGTTCCAAGGTCCCTGTAGGATCTCTTGTTTCTTTAGAACTTTTACCCTAGAACTTGGAATTTTGAGATTTCCTTAATGCCATACCTCCGTTGTAGAACTAGGAATGTTGTTACAAAAAATCATATTCAGAATAATGCTTTTGCACATACATGATCATTGTTTTGATCAACATTAGTCAACTGTCAAATTATTGTGAAGCAATCCCATTTGGATTTATTCTAAGTCATTCATCAATTAAAGGTCAAAGTGATACAGAGAAAGGCTATATTGATCAAAATCAATAACATCCAGATTATATTGTAAGAGTTGAAGCCAGGTGTTTATGTATATTATCAGGTGAAAGGTCAGTGGTTATAAACAAAATATCCATTTGAATTAATGCAACCATACCATAATATTATGATGTAGTATTGATTTGACAAGACTGGGTAGCAAATGACCCTTCTGACGTGTGTCTAGGTGACTTCCAGTGGTGACCACTCAAGATTCCTCTGGGATCTGTTATTTTACTTATTGTGTAGATGTTGGAGAACTTTTTGTTTACAATCAACAATACAGGAAATAACACTTTCCAGTAACTGAATATTATACAGTTCCAGTGCTATACAATTAAGTCTCTCTAACTTTCAGAGCTGCTTTCTAGTCAATCTTTCTGATAACTTGTATCTGTCTAAACTGATCTCAGCGAGATTTGACTGAATTCAGAGGGGATCCATGTAGATTATTGCCATGTCTATCCAGGACCCAGGTCAGGAAAATTCACCAAAGTCATTCCAGAATGTGGTACTTTGGTCAGACAGCCATTTACTAGTATCAATGACCACTATCATGTTGATACCTCGGCCAGGTAGATGTTAGTATGTGAGAGGTTACCTTGTTGATGGAAAGGTAATGGTGGTCAACCTGTTAGGCCAATGGCATGATCATCATAAGCCAAGGGCTCAAAAGTTTCTTGAAAACAAAACCTGTTGATAGTTGCTCAAAGAATTGTAAAGAGAGTAGTTAATGATTTAGAGCAAAGTGTTAGGTCAGTATTATGATGAAAAAAAAAATAAGAAAAAATTAATGCAAAAATCATTTTTTGAAGACGATTGCGGAATTTCTATGTAATAGATGTTCTTTTCATACAACCACTGAGAAAATTTGAACTGGTAATGCTGTACAAAAGTCTATTAAGCGTCATACGTCACAAGCATATGTCTTGTAAATTACCTGATATAAAATATATAGAATTTGATTGATACTTGTTTATGTCACTAAGGTATTGTTAATTGTATTGATTTTGTAAGAAATTATAGAATAAGAATTCACTGAGCCAGCTTGTGTTATGTAAGCAGAGAATACTGGCTTTGTAATCTGTCAGGATAGCCTGCCAAGTATACAGAATCAGAATGAAGAGAATGAAGTTTTGAGCCAGCAGGTATGGTTCCTGGATTTTGAACCAAGGAAGCTATAATATGATATAAAGCAACAACCTTTGGAAATATCTTATTCCTTTCATTAACAGGCCAGTAACATTAATGATCCCGAAATTTTGTTGATTCTTAATAGTTTCAGTGCTAATTGAATTATTGATGGCTGTTTAATTGGGACAGAAATACCACATATCTGCAGATAGCATTAGAGATTCAGAACTTTGCATGTACAAATGCTGTTATCAGTTTGTACTTTGCCACATTCACTTCCTTAGTTCAAAGGTCACCAGTACCATTGTATTATTTACTTTGGGTTACACAGTACAAGAAATGGATCCAGTTACATAGAATTTCCTAAGCTTGATTAACAAGTACTGAAAAATTCATGAACACAAGATATTTTAGCTCGAAATTTAATCTAAGTGTTTTTCAAGGAGGGCAGGTTGGGTATATTTAGTAGTGAAAAGAACTCAAAATTCTTAACAGCAACCTTCAAATGCCATACACTAATAAAACAAATAGCATTGTCCGTGATCATCTAATCATGTCCCTTCTCGATTCAGTGTTATAACCTAGAACTTCTGGCATGGATTTTGGTCAAACTTTATACAATGGTCATTTATGAGTTTACATTGAACATTGCCATGTTTCAGGGGCCCAAGGTCAAGGCCATGGTCAGTGGTGCTTTATAAATAGAAAATATTAACTAGTTCAATTTAAACACTTAGTGACTTCATTCTTTCGTGGATTTTGGTAAAACATCAAGCAAAGATCAGTTATGAATATATTTCGGACATTATTGTATTTCAGGGGTCCAAGGTCAAGGCCTTAGCATTGACGGATTTACGCCTTACATATTTCTAGTTTTCCTGTAGGCTCAACAGGAGCAACAGACTTTGGCTTCCTGCTGATCTCATTTCCATGTCATTGGTTTTTCACATGTTGTAGTGGTTCTTCATGTGTTGTAGTGGTTCTTTACGTGTTGTTGTGGTTCTTTATGTGTTGTTGTGGTTCTTTATGTGTTGTTGTGGTTCTTTATGTGTTGTAGTGGTTCTTTACGTGTTGTAGTGGTTCTTTATGTGTTGTAGTGGTTCTATACGTGTTGTTATATGTGTTGTAGTGGTTCTATATGTGTTGTAGTGGTTCTATATGTGTTGTTATATGTGTTGTAGTGGTTCTATATGTGTTGTAGTGGTTCTATACGTGTTGTAGTGGTTCTATATGTGTTGTAGTGGTTCTTCATGTGTTGTAATGGTTCTTTATGTGTTGTAGTGGTTCTTTATGTGTTGTAGTGGTTCTATACGTGTTGTTATATGTGTTGTAGTGGTTCTATATGTGTTGTAGTGGTTCTGTATGTGTTGTAGTGGTTCAATATGTATTGTAGTGGATCTATATGTGTTGTAGTGGTTCTATACGTGTTGTAGTGGTTCTTTATGTGTTGTAGTGGTTCTTTATGTGTTGTAGTGGTTCTTTATGTGTTGTAGTGGTTCTATATGTGTTGTAGTGGTTCTTTATGTGTTGTAGTGGTTCTTTGTGTGTTGTTATATGTGTTGTAGTGGTTCTTTATGTGTTGTAGTGGTTCTTCATGTGTTGTAGTGGTTCTTTGTGTGTTGTTATATGTGTTGTAGTGGTTCTTTGTGTGTTGTTATATGTGTTGTAGTGGTTCTATATGTGTTGTAGTGGTTCTTTGTGTGTTGTTATATGTGTTGTAGTGGTTCTTTATGTGTTGTAGTGGTTCTTTGTGTGTTGTGGTGGTTCTTTGTGTGTTGTTATATGTGTTGTAGTGGTTCTTTGTGTGTTGTTATATGTGTTGTAGTGGTTCTATATGTGTTGTAGTGGTTCTTCATGTGTTGTAGTGGTTCTATATGTGTTGTAGTGGTTCTTTATGTGTTGTAGTGGTTCTATATGTGTTGTAGTGGTTCTTTGTGTGTTGTTATATGTGTTGTAGTGGTTCTTTGTGTGTTGTTATATGTGTTGTAGTGGTTCTTTGTGTGTTGTTATATGTGTTGTAGTGGTTCTATATGTGTTGTAGTGGTTCTGTATGTGTTGTAGTGGTTCTTTATGTGTTGTAGTGGTTCTTTGTGTGTTGTAGTGGTTCTTTGTGTGTTGTTATATGTGTTGTAGTGGTTCTTTGTGTGTTGTTATATGTGTTGTAGTGGTTCTTTGTGTGTTGTTATATGTGTTGTAGTGGTTCTTTATGTGTTGTAGTGGTTCTTTGTGTGTTGTTATATGTGTTGTAGTGGTTCTTTGTGTGTTGTTATATGTGTTGTAGTGGTTCTTTATGTGTTGTAGTGGTTCTTCATGTGTTGTAGTGGTTCTTCATGTGTTGTAGTGGTTCAATATATATTGTAGTGGTTCTTTATGTGTTGTAGTGGTTCTTTATGTGTTGTAGTGGTTCTTTGTGTGTTGTAATGGTTCTTTATGTGTTGTAGTGGTTCTTTTATGTGTTGTAGTGGTTCTTTATGTGTTGTAGTGGTTCTTTGTGTGTTGTAATGGTTCTTTATGTGTTGTAGTGGTTCTTTATGTGTTGTAGTGGTTCTATACGTGTTGTTATATGTGTTGTAGTGGTTCTATATGTGTTGTAGTGGTTCTATATGTATTGTAGTGGTTCTATATGTGTTGTAGTGGTTCTATACGTGTTGTAGTGGTTCTATATGTGTTGTAGTGGTTCTTCATGTGTTGTAATGGTTCTTTATGTGTTGTAGTGGTTCTTTATGTGTTGTAGTGGCTCTATACGTGTTGTAGTGGTTCTATATGTGTTGTAGTGGTTCTATATGTGTTGTAGTGGTTCTTTATGTGTTGTAGTGGTTCTTTATGTGTTGTAGTGGTTCTATATGTATTGTAGTGGATCTATATGTGTCGTAGTGGTTCTATACGTGTTGTAGTGGTTCTTTATGTGTTGTAGTGGTTCTTTATGTGTTGTAGTGGTTCTTTATGTGTTGTAGTGGTTCTATATGTGTTGTAGTGGTTCTTTATGTGTTGTAGTGGTTCTTTGTGTGTTGTTATATGTGTTGTAGTGGTTCTTTATGTGTTGTAGTGGTTCTTCATGTGTTGTAGTGGTTCTTTGTGTGTTGTTATATGTGTTGTAGTGGTTCTTTGTGTGTTGTTATATGTGTTGTAGTGGTTCTATATGTGTTGTAGTGGTTCTTTATGTGTTGTAGTGGTTCTATATGTGTT